AGCAAAATCTCAACAAGACTTCCAAAAGATACATTCTAACTGAAATATCACAACAAAAACCCCAGGAAGAGAAAGTCGAAAAAGAAATAAGAAAATATAACCCAGGACTATCTGGATTACTTGATGATTTCTGGATTCTTGGTTATTGTTTTGAATGACTAAAATCAATCGGGTGGTTGTTTAAAACTGTTTAAAATGGCTCCACTTTTAGAAGAACAGAAAATGGAACTTAAAAAGTATAAAGAAGATGCACAAGAAGGGAGAGGTTCTTTTGGCTTCGTATTTCAGTTTTTAGAAATGGAGATTTGGAATTATGAGAAACAACAAGAAATGCCTGCAGAACAAGAAGATTGCAACAAAGAAGAAGCCATCTTTAATGAACAAGTAATATTAGATTGGGGGGGGGAGGAAAGGGGAAAAGAGAATGGAAAGTTTAAGATTGGGAAAAACAACTCCAAAAAAAATAGAGTGAAAAATAAGTATAAAATCAGAAAGCAACAGAAGAGGGAAATGCAGAAGAGAGAATTAGAAGTAGAGAGACAAGGGAGTAAAAAGGGGAGGGAGAAGATGATAGGGAAGAAAGAAAGGAAAAGAAGTTATAAAGGACAGAAACAAAATATAGAGAAACAGGGCCTATTTAGAGATAATGGGTGAAAATTTAATGGAAAAAGGGATTCTGCAAAGGTATATAAGATAGTATGGTTATATTAGAAACAGAAATAGTTTTAGAAAATATGAAACAATGTATGATTAAAATGTCTGATAAAATAGCTATCGTAATTCAGTGGAATGCTTGTCAATAAATAAATGTAACAAAAGGTATATTTAATGATTTATAAAACATATGTGAAGAGAAATAAGGGAAAAATTAATTATGGAGATTATATGTGTTTTTAAGGAAGTATGATATTTAATTGAAAAGAAGTGTTAAAAATGTTTAAGACTTTAATGATTATTAATGATAGAACTGAACTGGAATGGAATGAGGGTTTATAATTACATATATTTACAATCTTTTTTAAAAAAAGAATATAGTGTGTATTATAAGAATGTACCAAGCAGAATTCGATTGGAAGTTATGTATTATGTATTATATTGAAGGTCATAACCTTAAGGTATATATTGAAGTTTAAATAAGAGTTGAATGGATGTAATTAAAAGATATAAAGGTGTCATACTCCAATTAGTAACTACAGGAGAAAATTTGTTTTATGAGAAAAGATAATATGAAATTGAAACAGAACAGACAAAAGTATAAATATAATGATTTGAATTGAGATGAGATAATCAAAATAAAATTGAGAAAATTAAAAGAGGGGAAAAATTATATAGAAAATGTAAAATAGTATAAGATATGGAATAGAATACAAAAAGGAGCATGAAATTGAGTTTTGTGTCTGTATAAAGAAGTTCAACCTGGGACCATGCTATTTTCAAAAAAGATGTTTTACTTGTATTTTGTATGTGTAAAAACCCAAATAAAACTTTATTAAAAAAAATTGATTCCATGACTTTACAGGTGACGCAGCATAAAGAGATTGGTCTGTAATTTTCAACTAGGCTGGGATCTCCTTTTTGAAGATGGGGATGACCGTGGCTCGTGACCATAGTTTTGGCAAGGAGCTGGTCCTGAAAGATTTTTCAAAGATTATGCTTAGAGGTTCAGCTAATGACTATTTGAATTATGAAGGTGCTTGAAAAATGTAACTTATGACCAGTTTTCACACTTATAGCTGTCACAGAATCCCCATGGTCATGTGATCAAAATCTGGCACTTGGAAACCAGTATGTACTTACATGTTGTTAGGGGGGGTTCCAATAAGTGAGTAAATATGGGAAGCCAGATTGGTTTAACAACCATATGATTAACTTCAGTGATCAGTTCAACAACTATGGCAAAAAGGTTATAAAATTGGACACAACTCAATGACCCCATCCTGTTCATACCCATGGATATGTTTAATGAACGGAAACACAACATAAAATCATCTGTTATCTATCTGAGTAAGAGAAGACATATTGAAGAGAATACAAAATTGAAAAAAAGCCATCTTGATATCTCTGTTACCTTCTCACAAACTAAAGTTCTCTTTACAAGTTACTTTCATGCAATGGTAGATAATATCACTACATATTACAGTTAGTTTAGTGATATTAAACTAACTGAAAAAAAAGGCCAAGATTTGGAATTGAACTCTTTAGACTGGAATTAATGAAAAAAATAAGACAAATTAATCACTAAATTAGAACACCAAGATAAAGAAATTGCATTTGCAGACAAGATATCAGGAGGTCTCATTAGTTCTCCTTAGAGAACCAGAGTTAAACAAATTGGAAACTAAACTAAAAATAGCTAAAATAGAAATACGTAAAATAATATGAAGTTGACAAGCATACATACATGAGGACTTTAGCAAGAGGATTTAGAAAGAGAAATGAAAATTTCTTTACTTAAAATTTATTTTGGCATGGTTATAGATCAAAATTTGGAAACCCCAAAAATATGCACAATAAATCCACAAGTACTACAAAAGAGAAAATTGCTACATCATATACTTGTTCATGTATATTAAGACAAAAGAAGCAACACTGGAATTAAAAAGGAGTGATATTCCCTTTGGAGGTGCACTTACTAAGATTCTACTAAATGTACTTCTAGACATACATACAAAGAAGAGAAATCTGAGATTTCTAATTTTTTTCTACAAAAATATTAGATTTTGATATATATGGGATATTTTATTCCATTTAGCAGTCCTTATAGATGATGGCAAAGTTTTTCTGTATCCCACTGATGATGCCAAATGTGTGATGACCCGGGATGTGGCCCAAAGGCAACACAGTCAAATAAGCAATAAGAGCCCCTTTATTATCTCCAACTTTGCCCCCAATGTCCAGGTTACCTTCGGCTAGAGAAAAACTCTCCCACGAACAGCCTTTAACTGTTCAAAATTCAGTCCAAAACAAGGTACATACAAACTGTAACTAAAAATCCAAACAAACCAAGCTGAAGTAATTAGCTTGACAGGGCAGGAGAAGGAATTTCAGACTTGAAAGCAAACTCACACAGTTGGGAAGACGCCAGGAACACAGATAAGCCACGATGATACAAGATAACGATACAAGATAAATTCATGTTTGCTCCCAACAGCTTGCTGCGTGCAGCTTCCCTTTTAAAATACTGTGTTCCCAGCTGCAGCTAATGAAGGGAATCAGGGCCCTTTCCTCCCCCGTAAGCCACGCAACTGATGTTGCTCCCTTCTCCGTTCCTCCCTGCGTGCCCTAGGATGAAGAGGGGGTGGGTCTGGGTCTTTCTCTGAATTCCCTGTCCCTTGCTCTACCTCTCCCATGCTCTGCCAGCTGGACTTTGCCCTTCCCCAATTTGTTCCACAGCCATATTCCCACTCCCTGTCAGCTGTTCAGCTTCCCCCTCTGAGTTAGATTCTGACAGGGGCATGACAAAATGAATGTTCAAGTCATTGGCTGCTTCAGATCAAGGGAATGAAGACTAAGGTCAGGTACAATCCCAAAGTGAGACCAGACAGTTGCTACTTCTTCATTAATATGAAAACTATGGATCAATAGCCATAGATGGGTTGAATAGCCAATTTTTTTTTCAAAAATTAGACTAGAAAAGGATGTTATGTGTCTTCAGGATACAATATTGAAAATACAATTTGGAAAAAAACATAAACCTGTCGGAATGCAAATACAATATCTGAAATTTGGGGTGATGTTTTAATATTGTAACTCTATGAAATCTTCAGTAGCTTGAATAGAATTTAATATAAGTTGTAAATCTTATTTTGTTATTTATAATATACTACTACTGTTGATATTTGTATAATAATTGGACTTTAATTGTGACCTCATTTTCAAAACTGTATAATATATTGTCACTTAAAATCAGTTAGTGAAATATTGAAAATGTATAAATTCTCCATTTATTCATTTCATATTTTTCTTTATTCTTTTCCATTCCTTTGGTTTTTTATTTATTTTTAAAAATTCCCGATAAGAAAGACAAAGGTTAAAAAAACTTTTTGATAGACTTGATATGGATCCTATCTCAAACTACAGAGTTTAAGCATAAGAAACATAAAGTTCTGCACTAAAGTAGAAAAAAACCTGGACGCACATGTACAACATTGGTCTTATTGAAGTCAGCAGTAGTATTTGTGAGAGTCTTGTGTCTGGGTAGATTGCAGATTAAGCGTGAGTCAGCAGTGTGCTGCAGCTGCTAAAGGTAGTGATACAATCTTGGGATGCATCCATAGAGGTATAGTATCAAGATAATGGGAAGTGATAGTGGACTGCTTATCTCCAAATGTTTATGCCTGTCTGGTCAGATAAAGTAGGGCGAGTACATGCCAGGTCCCATTTATTAAACAACATACAATGTTCTATGTATGATATACTACAACAGAATTGGAAGGAAGCTTGGAGATCTTCTAGTCCAACCCCTGCTCAAGCCCTGTGGCATTCCAGACAAATAGCTGTTCAGTCTCTTCTTGAAAACCTTCAATGATGGACCAACTCCAACTCCCAGAGGTAAGTTGTTCAACTGATTAATTGTCCTGTCAGGATATTTCTCCTTTATTCTAGGAATTTGGGTTTTCTAGGATTATCTTTGATACTCGTCTTGCCCTCAGGTGCTTTGGAGAATGGATCAGACCCTCAAGTACTGGAAGACTGCTATTGTAACACCCCTAGTCCTTCTTTTCATTAGATTAGGCATATCTAGTTCACCATCTTACAAGATCTGGGAGATACAGTTATTTGATTGCAATACCTGTCTTCTAGAATGCCCCCTCTCTCCATCATAACTTCCCATCCTTATATTGCTCTGTCATTTACTCACAACCTGGTTGTTCTCCCAGGACTTATTTATTCCCTTCTACTCACTTTAGTTTTGTTTAAATTTGGTTGCCCACAGTCATTGAGGAGTTGGGCAGTCTCAAAATTGAAATAAATAAACACACAGTTACTACAAATTTTGGAATAAAGTTTAATGTGGTTTGGATATTGTAACAGAATCTTGAAGGCCTGTCCAAGGCCCCTTAGTTCAAGTAACACATTCAAGAAGTTTTTTTGAATTTCTGTTTCTGACTTGAACCTCCCCAGAACTCAAATATCTTTCCTCAGCCTTTTCTTGTGCCGTCTCTGAGTCAAATGAGCATTTCATCACAATTCCCCACAATTACCAATCCTCAATTCTTCTTTCAGGTTCACTCTCTTCTTTTCCATACACAATCATTTAACATGCTCTATTTCATTCCCTCCTGGGTGTAAAGATTTCTTAGTGCCCTCCTTTCCTAATTCAACCCAAGTTTAATTAAAAACAGTGATTTGATAGAAAGACTAAGGAGGGTTTATATACATCTTGAAGACATTGACCTGATAAAAAAGAAATGTAACAGCACATTATGTATTTATGAATATAACATATATTTTTTAAAAAACAGTGTTCTTGACTATTCTTATATATGATAAAGGGATAAAGTAAATTCAAAACTATTTACTAAATATAGAATTTGGTAGTACATATTTACAGAAAGTAAAATGAATTAATCTGATTTATCTTTTTAAAAAAGAAGCAATGAGTTTAAAAACCTGCAGTAAAATACACAAATGCCTAAATATCAGGGCTTTATATATTGCTTTTGACAGAATATTTACACTAAAAAAAACAAAGCAGTCAATCTTGATATGACTGCTTTAAAAAAACCTCTGAAGGTGCTAATTGTGCACCCATTTGGACTGAATGTCTTATGGGGATTCTTTAGTCATTCAGGTCATGGTTGTCCCAAAGGTGCTTTTTCAAGAGGCAACTGGACTTCCTGGGTTTTCTTTGAAAAAACTTGGATGAGAAGTGAAACATCTTCAGAGGAAAACCAGAAAGTTCAGTTGCCTTTTGAAAAAGCACTTTTGGGATTTGCACTGAATCCAGATTTTTGCACAGTTGTACTAAACCTTGTGTTTATTTAAAGCTTTGGCTTTTAAAATAGAAATTTAAATGAAATTGAAGTCTTGACTTTTGTGACCTGGAAAGCACTTCTTATTTATTTCTTCTTGTATATTTTTGTAACAAAACACCATCCATCTTATTTTCAAGATTTATTACATTTGCAATAAGCTGATGTTAACATTTCTCTGCTAAATTTAACTAAATTTCTTTTCCTAAATTTCTCAATTCTAGAGTACCTAATGATTGAAATTTCTAAACTGTATTAATTGTCATAAAGGTTCAATGATTAAAGTATATCCAAAGGAGTCCAATACAGGTAGTCCTCGACTTACAACAGTTCATTTATTGACTGTTCAAAGTTATACAACATCACTGAAAAAAGTGACATGATTGTTTTTCATACTAACGATCATTACAGTATCCCTATCGTCATGTGATCAAAATTCAGATGCTTGGCAGCTGACTCATATTTATGACAGTTGCAATGACCCTGGGGCCATGTGATTAACTTTTGCAACCTTCTGACAAGCATAGTCAATGGGGAATCCAGATTCACTTAACAACTGTGTTACTAATTTAACAAGTGCAATGATTTCACTTAACAATTGTAGCAAGAAAAGTCATAAAATTGGTCAAAATTCATTTAACAAATGTCTCACTTAGCAACAGAAATTTTGGGCTCAGTTGTGGTTGTAAGTCGAAGATTACCTGTATTCTATTGTCCAAGGATCCATACAGCGTGGAATCAGGCAAATCAATCGCCTCGTGGGAATAAAACAGATTGATCTGCAGTCACAATCCTGTATATTCGGCAAATTCTGTATCATTTACAAGTCAGAGTGATTAGATAGTGTCAGATTAAGAAGATAAAGTGAGCTAGCTCTGGGTCACAGCCTTTTATTCTGCAATTCTATGTAATAATCATAGAAAAAAAGTCACAGCATTAATTTTACAGTAAAAAGTTTGGCTTCTGCCTGGCAAATCCCCAAGGGAATAGAAAGACATAAAGGTTGCTATATGAAACCTTGATAATTATGCACAATGTTAAATAAAGTGGATAATACAAGAATAGTAGATGTCTTCAAATGAAACTTTTTCAGAGCAGTTTAATTATATAGTGCTTAAATCCTTTCAATAACAATTTCCCCATCCATCAGCTTGACTAGTTGTTTCTTTCTTTTCCGACTTATTTTCATGACACCTTTTTGTCCCTTCTTTGAAATGAAACCTGGGAGGAAAGAAATGATGAAATGTACTAAACAGCGTGCCGTATTTTTCTCTTTCTGTCTCCACCTCAATTTCCCGCCTTTTCTTTTGTTGCTTCCTTCCCCCCCTAATTATATATTACAAACTCCTTGAATTGGGAACATTAAAAAAAAAACAGCTGTCACAATTTAGGACTGACAATATATAGCAATTGTTCAGGTAGCTGAAAGCATTATGACAGGGATATTGATGCCTTTGATGTACCTACCCACTTCTATTCGGACAAATAAAAGATTAACAAACCAAAAGCCTATTTATGAAAGGCACAGCATGCTGTTTTGGGTGGGAGGACTCAGGAAGTGGCCTTTCTTTTATCATGATACCTGTCCTCTGGAATACTATTCCCCTCAAGATTTGTATAATCCCTACCCTGACCTCAAGGCCTGCCCCCCCACCCCCCAGTGTTGGGTTACAGTAAGTAATAGAGCAACTGTGTGATGTTTTGGTGGTGTTTCTCCAAATTCTTCTTTTTAAGGTTTCATTCATTCATATTTTTTATTGTTTTATTTTGTAAAAGAATTGTAAAAAATTAGGGTAGCCTATAGAATGAATGGAAGCTCATATCAAAAGCACAAGGGGATAGTTCTCTTTGGAATCATAATAAAAAAATCAATAAAAGTTATATCTATCTCTAACTGGGAGTTCTTCTGGATGACTTTTTAAAAAGATTTTTTTATCCTGCCTTTATTATCTTTATAAATAACTCAGGGTGGTGAATGTACCGAATACACCTTCCTCCTTATATTTTCCCCACAACAACTCAACGTTGGGCTGAGAGAGAGAGACTGGCTCAAAGTCACCAAGCTGGCTTTCATGCCTAAAACAGGACTAGAACTCAAAGTCTTCTGATTTCTAGGCTACCACCTTCACCACTACACCAAACAGGCTCTCTTTATTTATTACAAGTGTATTCCATTCTTCCTGTACAGAGATCAGTGCATTGTACATGTCCCAAACCCTAGATATATTCCATAGTCTTACAAATTAGTGTGAACTAGGTTATTGAAATAAGAATTAATGAAATCAACAGAATAACAATATCAATAGCACTTAGAATTATATGCCGCTTCACAGTGCTTTACATCCCTCTCTAAGCATATCAGCATATCGCCCCCAACAATCTGGGTCCTCATTTTACCCACCTCGGAAGGATGGGAGGCTGAGTCAACCTTGAGCCTGGTGAGATTTGAACTGGCAAATTGTAGGCAGCCAGCAGTCAGCAGAAGTAGTCTGCAGTACAGCACTCTAACCACTGTGCCACCAAGGCTCGAATATCAAGCTTCTGGGATCCTAAGTCAGGTGCTTAAGCCACTACCCCCTCACTATATGTGGCATTCAAGAGATGCTTCGAAATAGAACAGGGATGGGGGGGGGGAGGCCTTCGTGAGTATGTCAAAATACAATTCAAAGAGCTATAGCCAGCATCATTGATAGGGAGAGAAAGTGAAAATTTAGCAACATCTTAGGAGGTTTTCAGCCCATTAGATTAACAAAGCATACTGATTGGTTGTTATTGAAATCTTAAAGGCTTGTGTGTTGCACTTAAATTCCTACCATGAGATAGTGTGAATCTTTCCTATTGAGCTGTGCTAATAGTTGTGTTCTGGGCTTCCAGACATTGCATTTGTTTAAAATGAATAACATGACAAACTTCTTTGACTTGTGTACTCAGTTGTAATAATTTACGAATGAAGGCAAGTATATGTGTCCCAGGATAATGTTGCTCGATCCAATCTGGGTCAGTCACCGGGACCAGAAGTTTAGTCTTCTGAGCTTTCGGACTTGTGCTGGAGTCCATCTCCAGGGAACTTCTCTCCTATTCCAATACATATTCCAATAGAGAGAAGTTCCCTGAAGATGGACTTCAGCACAAGTTCAAAAGCTTGGAAGAGCAAAACCATTGGTCCCAGAGACCGAGCCAGATTGGATCTTGCAGTAACACTTTAGCAAAGAATATTTCAACACAAATGCTTGCAACTATACCTTTCTTACACATCTTCACACATGCCTTCCTAGAAGTAAAATTATTTTCATTCCCACCACATCCAGTGTAGCTGAATGGACGACATCTTCCAATAGTTAGATTATAGAAGAATCGTTTCTCATTTGCTTTGCAAAGTCCTCTGTCCATGGGCATCACACAAAGAGAAGGGAGCAGGGATAACTCTAGACATAGTAAGTAAGAAAACATGGTGAGAAATAGAATCTTAGATTCTGGTGTTGTATTTTTGGTTCTATGATAAATACACATTTTTCCAATATTGCACTGCAGTTCTCAGAATTT